TGGCCTCAATTTTCATCAAATACCATGCAACTCTTAAGTGTCTCTGGGTCCAGTGCCCTACCCACTGCATCTTCTCTACCTCTTAGAATTTTTATCTTCTTTCAAGATTCAGCTTAATAGCACCTCCTAAAGACTTTTATGCTCACTTCAACCACATGCTCCAATTGTCTTCTATTGACTTACCCATGTAAGTTATACCACCACCACCTTATTCCCCTGCAAAATATAAATTCCTTGAAGTATCCTAAATGCCTAACACATTATCTTATACATAGCAGCGGAGTTGTTTGTGGCAGGGGAAATACTGCAGAGTTAAGCTGAAAAGCCAGTGGATTTGGAATGAGAAGACACTTCAGTTTAAGTACGACAATGTCTCTCATTCCATTCTAATGTTGAAGATGAAGAGCTAGCCAGAAAGTTAGGTGAATTCTGAACTAATTGAATACCAGACCAAAACAATAGTTCATTAATAGCTCTACCGTCAACCTGGAAGGTATCTAGTGGATCTACCAAAGGTGATGTATTGCTTAACATTTATGTTAATGACTTGGATAAAGGGCATAAAATGGCATACTTATCAAATTTGCAAATGACCCAAAACAAAGAGGGTAAACTAAGATACCGGACAACCAAAGTCAGGATCCAAAAAAGATCTCAACAAGTTAAATCATTGGGCTTAATCTAATAAAATGACATTTAATAGGTATGTGTGTAGATAGATAGGTGGATAAATAGATAGACAGACATATGGATAGATATGTTAAAGATTATAGATTGAAACAACTTCACAAATAAAAAATAGCAACCAGTGATACCAACCAAGCTTGCTTAAATAAACATATGAAAAAGATTTGAAGGTTTCAATGAATTATAAGCTCAACATGAGTCAACAATGTTAAGAACAAGAGAGCTAAAAGCTGCTGTACTCTGCCCTCATCATACCACATTCTTAGTCCCGCATGTCAACTCTAAACACCAAATGTTAAGGACACTGAGAAAATGAAGTTTCCCAAGGAAAGTGGATGAGGACGGTGAAGGGCCTTGAGATCATTCCATATGAAGATCAATTAGAAGAAATAAGCATGTTCAATTTAAAGAAGAATCAGGGAAGACATAATCACTGTCTTCAAGTCTTTGAAAAACTGTAACATGGTGGGGAGCTAGGTAGCGCAGTGGATAGAGCACCAGTCCAGGCATCAGGAGGACCTGAGTTCAAATCCGGCCTCAGACACATAAAAAAATCATACTAGCTGTGTGACCCTGGGCAAGTCACTTAACCCCATTGCCTAGCCAAAAAAAAAAAAAAAAAAAAAAAAAGACTGTTATATGGAATAAGGATTTATTTTCTGCTTTTTCTGTTTGGCTCAAAAGACAGAACAAGGAGTAATAAATTAAAGTTGAAAAACCATATTTTGGTTCAATATAAGAAAAAACCTGATAACAATCAAAGCTATCCCAAAGATAAATGAGTTGCCTTAGGAGGCAGTAGATTTCCCTTTCACCTGAAGTTTTCAACAGAGGCTGCAAGAGCACTTGTTGGGAATGCTGTCAAGTGTATTCGTACTCCAGTATGGGCTAAACTAGATGGATTCTAAGGTCCCTATCAACTTTCAGACTCAATGCAATTCCAACTCTGATACTTGCTTTCTATGTGTTCATGAATAAGTCACTCTACTTCTCTAAGACTAAATTTCTTCATCAAGTGAAAACAATACCTGGGACACCTGTCACTTGAGGTAGTGGTTGTTCCTGGGAAAGGATAAGGACCATGGGCTCTCAATGGTGTTTTAACTGGGAAGTAGATCAATGATAATAAATAAGCAATATATACTAAAAACTGCACATTTGTATTAATCTTATGTACACCGAAAGGAGGACATTTAAGCTTCATAACTAGTGTGCACTGATTCTTCAGAAACTCCATTTTTACAAAGGAATTTAACCCTTATGTGAAAAGAAAGAAAACTGGAACTGGCTGAAAACTAACTAGGACAAAAGGGACAGGGTAAAAGAAAGGGTAACTATCTGGGTGTGTTTGTGGATGGTGTTTAATGTCATGTGAGTTCCTTCAAGAATCAACAAAGTTGAGTTAGGCTCATGGCACTCACTGAGCCACTCCCTAGAAGAGTGGCATATAAAGCCATACTAAACGCTTATATCAAAAAGCATCTGAGTTACACTGCTTTCCTAGAGGCATAACTAAAACAGAAAGAAAGAGCTAACAGTTGTGAATATGGTACTTTGTAAACTTTAAAGTGACATATAAATGTGAGCTAATGTAATATAATTTAATGGCTTACATTTCTCTTACATCTATCCCTTCAGAGCCCAGCAGAGTGATGAACACAATATATTAGGCATTCAACAAATACTTCTTAATACTGATAATACAAATGTAAATTTTCATCTCATTAAACAACATCTACCACTTATAATTATCACAACAATTTTTTTTAATGATTGCATTTATTTACTTAACATATATTATGGAACTTTAACTACCAAATAACAGCTGACTCTTACACAGCACTTTACAGTTTGCAGAACACTTTCTTTACAAAACCATGAGGTATAAGTACCATATTATCATTTCCATTTTAAAACAGAGTTTCTAAGATGCCTGAAGTCAGTAGAGAAATCTTTTGAAGTCAAATAAGGGATGCAGGGGAGGGTTACTCTTTCAGGGACCTGGGATCAAGGCTAAGAATTAGTGAACCTGAGAGACTAAGTTCTTCATAGAACTGAAGACCTAGGGATGTCATTGGAACGAAGAAAGAAGTAAGAGATTTTGGATGTCTCTTACCTAGAGTTCCCACATCTGGAGCTATATGGTTGAAGAAATAGCTTCTAGACAGAATGAAACACCTACCAGAGTCAAATAAACTGGCTAGAAAACTTAGAGCTTGACCTAGCAACTAGCTCAGGCAGAATTGAAAAGATTTTTTTTTAGTGCATCAAGAAAAGAGGAGACTAAGAAAGCTAGTTTCTTGAACATTTACACAAAACACCAGGTTTAACTTAGGCTTAGAAGCCTATAATCTTTATTCACTGTTATTGTAAATTCCTTTTGTGCTTTCCATTAGTTCTTAGTACTTAAAACACTTAAAAACACACACAAAAAAGTCTGTGTACTGTTCTGGAGCAAGGAAGAAGGGAAGAGGTTTGCATTTTCTTCCATAGACGGAAATGGAGGAATCAAAGTTTCAAGGAGGAGGCGGCAAAGAAAAAACAGCAATGTGTACTGGTAAGCCAAATCCTGCCAGCTAGTACTGGTAGGTAAAAAAAAAAGTGTGAAAGTGAGGGATCAGTACAGTAGGTCCCATGGTACCATACCAGAAAAGTTTTTTTTATTTAAATTACTGATAATATATTTTTTTTAATCATCTGCTTCTTTCGCTCAAATATGCAAAAGAAACACAAGCTACTTATTGTTCAGTTAGTTGAGCTATTATAACATAATTATACTCTACTTACAGGTATAATTTTCCACGAACAAGTCAATAATTTAAACCCCTAAAATATAGAGTTCATTAATCAACTGAATATTTCTCCTTCTATCTACCATTTAACAAAGTCTGACCTACTCATTATTAACATATTCATTTAAGTGGTGACAAATGGCATGTCCGATCACACATGAATTTACATTAACAGTAAGAATTCATGATAAAGCAAAGATAGCAAATGCAATGCAGAAACCATGAGAAGAACTTCGATTACATTAATGAAATACATTAATGATGTATAGAATGTCATCTTGCTATGAACAAGAAAAGTTATGAATTACTACATTCTTCAACACAAACAAAATAATTGTTCTAATTGGTAGAGGAGCAGTCAGAGGTGTGCTGATAAATGTTTAACATTTAACATTAACATCTCCAAAACACACTAGCACACTTTAACATTTAATAGGCATTGTTAAAATTTTCTCTGTCATTTTCTGAAATCTAACCAACAAAACAACGATTTGTAGTGTTTGCCGATTTCCAAGAGGCTCACTTTGAAAATTTAACAAACAGCTCTCAACGGGAAGTAGGAACTAGTTCCAGCACACCCCTGCAGCAGCAATCTCAAACACAAAAACTACAAGCTACTAATTTTAAGAACATTTAGGAGAGTGCAATATTTTAGGTACTCTACCTTTCTTTTTGCCTGTGTAATACCCTAAAGTCAAGAAAAACAAGTCATTGATAAAATGCATTTAAAGTTCTTTTCTTCATATGAAAAATAATGTTCTAATTAAAATAAGGAGGTAAAATGCAGCTGAGATAAATTCAAGACTATCTTAGAAGTGAGAATATCTTGATAATTTCCAATCATTTTACAAATATATACAAAGCTTAGTAGTTTACAAATTAAAATGGACTTGTTTTGATATTTATTATGAATCTTAAGTTTAAATATATCCTATATTAGTGAACAAACTGCATTTAAAAGAGTTTATATTCAATAAAATAGGTGAAAAAATTAGGCCAAAAATTCAACAGTGCAGTGGCTAAACTATATGGCTACTTATGTTTACTATCCTATTTTAAAGGCAGAAAATAATTCATAACAAAAACTCTATTATTATGGTCAAAAACAAATCAATAAGTATCTATCATGAAAAATTACAAGAGTTATTTCAAAACATATCATATTTTAAAGGAAACGTGAAATCAAGATTTAGAATCTCATTCAAAATTATATAACCTGTTGTTCTAATCAGGTAAGTGAACCTACAGCATTCATTGTTACTCTACCATTTCTCTAACGTGCACCTTTTTACTCTGATTTTGCCTACTACTATTTCTTTCTCCTGTCCCTAATTTTTTCTTCCCTATGTTTGTTTTCAGCTTTTCATTGCCATCTACATGCATAATTAAGCTCTGCAAGTAGCACCTCAGCACTTAGGTTTTGCAGAGCAAACATTAAATACTTTTGGATGAAAGGGCTCCTACTCAAAAATTTTTAACTTACGCTACTGTTGCCATCTTGAAGCTTAAAAGAATCTTTACCTGAGTAAGATACCGTCTGTAATCTTGTCGAAGTTCTTCCTTTAGCTTATGTTTCTTCCTTTCATATTCTTCACCAAGTGGTAAACTCAATCCATAATCAATCCCTGCGATATATAAAATTCACTTTCAATGCACTCTTGATAGAATAAAACAGATTGTGAAAGAAAGTCCACTTATATCTATCTTTTGATTATTAGCAAGCCTCAACTATTTTAATCTTTGAACCACAATCAAGTTGGCAAAATAAAACCAAATAAAAATGATGCATTTAATGTCATGTAATTTGACTATCATTTTTGTGAAAGAAAACTCCAAGAATCTCAGTTTGTCTATTTCCAATTCTAAAAGGACATGTAATCAACATGCATTTTTTGGTGGGGAAGCTTACAAAAATAAATTTGTTAAAAACATTTTCCTTAGTGGCAGCTAGGTGGCGCAGTGGATAAAGCACCAGCCCTGAAGTCAGGAGGACCTCAGTTCAAATCCGAGCTCGGACCAAACACTTGACACTAGCTGTGTGACCCTGGGCAAATCACTTAACCCCAACTGCCTAAAAAAAAACAAAAGAAAAAAAACATTTTCCTTAGAAAATATATTTATGATCTTCAGCAGCTTCATCTTAAAATAATTTAAATCACTGGCTTAGAAAAAAACTACCATTTCATAGAAACTGAACATTTCCTTCAAAAGTGTTATTTAAAAATATTCACTTAAGTGAGCTTTAAAATTAGGTTACATACTTTTCAAATGTTAATTTTTATTATAAAAGACTATGTCAAGCATAGGTGACAGATGATTATTCTTTTCAGGTTTTTGAAGGCCCTCCCTCTTTTTCTGTCCTTACTAGATAAAAAAATATAATTTCAAATATTTTCATTTTTAACAAAATAGAAGATTCTGCTTTGAAATCCACCAAGGACTATAGTTAAGATAACTAGCTACAGTGTATGTTGCCATTGATATCACCATTTCTGTGCCTTGTTCCTCACAAAGCAATAAAGAATGGGAACTTGTCACAGGCATGACATATCACTACTTTATTACATCATTAAAATATTTCAGAAATTTAGCCAAAGAGCTATAAATTACAATGGATGCTCACTAGCTTTTACATTTTTACACAACATATAACTTTTATATGTTGTGTGTATATACATATGTATATAAATACACATATAACTAGCTTTTATATTTTTATACCACATATAACACGTGTTATTATACATGTATTATCGAATTTTCCTCATTATCACTTTGTTGCCATGTTTATTGCAGAACTGCTCATATATCACAACACCCATCACCTTAAAACTGTGTATTATCAACACACACATTTCCCTAAAGTAATGCCTGTTACTCATGCTAATAATTCTCTTTCAAGAGTCTAAAGTCTTCCATAACCAAAAAGCATTAACTATCCATTTTTTGTTGAATAGCCAGCAGCCTTCCCCTAAAATCAAGAAAACTAAACCTCACTTTGGAGAAGTACTAGTATCTACCTTAATAGAGGAAAAAGACTTTTTATTCTGAATCTCATCCAAAACAGATGAAAATAGTATGAAAAAAATTTTTTATTTTTTTATTTTGTCATTTAGATAAATTTTTACCCAAAAACAAAAGCACAATAACTATGAACTGAAGTTAAATATCTGACAATACATGATCATAACACAGGCTTTGTTGCGCAATGACACTATATGCGAAGAGGACTTAGCTTGCTAGCTCATAGTGGGAAGAGTAGACAAACTATTCACATCTCTCAGAGAAGTACAAATGTTATATTAAGCAAGTGTTATATTTTTACAGGTATCTAGTAGGTTACTTTAAGTTTATTTTCACTTATCAAGTCTATCTGCCTTTTAATATAAATTCAAATGTCACTTACAATGCTGTTATTTTTTCAGCTCTACCTGACTAATAATTATGTAAATTTCACCTCTGAATTTAAGACATTATTTGTGAGGAACTTTATCAACATTCAATGGCCTCATAGGTAAAATATTGAATAAAATTAAAAGTATGTAGAATAAGCTTAATTTTTCCATGTTTTAGCACTTCAAGCAGAACTATTAATAACTATGACAGGCTAAATTTACTTAATGATCTGAAGAAATATAGAGACCTACTAATTCAATGGTTGTCTTCTGATGGTTCTAGTAGCAGGTAATGCTTAAGGGTCATTTTATGGTCATTTGTAGTGATAATACTTCACAAAGTAAAATATCACTGACCCCAAAAGAGTTAAGATTAAGTTTCATAAATATGACTAAGTAAATACTAGTATTTATTTTGCATAGCAATTATGAGTTAAATAAAATTAATTTATAAGATTAATGTATAAATCATTCCTAAGGGGTAATTGAGATATGTATTTTTTAAATTAAAATTTATTTTTTCAGATAGGCATTATATTCAATCCAATACATTTCAAAATGCCTCCTATGAACAAAGCACTATGCTAAGGAGGCACTGGAGATACAGAGACAAACACATTCTACCAGGAAGATACAATACTGACACAAAAAAGAAAACATTAAACAACTAGGATGATCAGGGAAAGATTCACAGAAAAGCGGCATGTGTGAAGGAAGATAAGGATCCTAAGAGTCAGACATAAGAGAGAATGAATTCTCTAAGAGGGCTTATACAAATTCTTGGGAGTAAGACAGAACACAAAAATCTACAAACAGAGGGCTACTCCCAGTCACCAGAAAGCCTCAAGGTGTCCAGGAAGGTGGAGGGCTAGGGAAAAACTACAGCATCTTCCAGAGACGCAAGCAATGCTCAGACGAAGACAGCAGTCAGGAGTCCAGTAGCGCCAAAGTCCCCAGCATTCTGTTCTGGAATGCCAGGGAAAGAGGTCTGAACCTCCAAAACTGAGGCAGGTTAGACATCAGCACAGAAACCCAGAGGATTCAGAATGAGAACAAGCAGGGTCAACCACCCCACCCAATTCAGGAACCAAAGCAGGAGAGATAAGTAAATAGAAGAAACCCAACTAGAATCATTAACTACTGTGGATATACAGATCTAAAGATACTCCAAAAGGAGAAAATAACTCTTTAACAACAAGCAATGACTTAAATAAAAAACTGATTTTTCTACAAGGTCTATATAAATACTCAGAAGATTAAGCAAGAAATAAAAAAAAAAGGAAATAAATGTTCTAAAGGAAAGAATTGGAAGGAGCATAAGTAGCTTAAAACAAGTGGTTAATCTTATCAGAGTAACAGAATCCCTAAAACCAGATTAGACCAAACAGAAATCAATGATTCCATGAAAAAGCAAAAGATATAGAACAAGATCAAAAGACTAAGGAATAGAAGAAACAACTGACCTTGGAAAAAAAAAGTCAAAGAAGGAATAATTTAAAAATTATTCAAATTTCTAAAGGCCAATTGCTTCTTATAATGAACGGTATGCATATTCATAGAAAGTAGACATGGATCAGAGGTACATATAGTCTGTAGTTATAGTCTCTGACCAAACTGGGGATTTTTTTTAAAGCACGGACGTTATATTTCAAGAAATTACAAATTAAAATTGCCCACATCTTTTTTTTAAAATATGAGGCCAAAGTAAAGAATCTACTGACAATCTCCTGAAAGGAATTCCAAAAAGAAAAGTCCCAGAAATATCATAGCCAAAATCAAGAATCAAAGAATACAATACTGCAAGTATTCCAAAAAAAAGTAGTCCTGAAGAGACCTGGAAGCTAATCTATAAATGGAGATCTTGAATATAATCCCAGAAGGCAAAAGATGTAGGCTTACAACCAAGAACCACTCTGCAAAGATGAATATAATCTTACAGGAGAAAGAAATGGAACTTTAACAGAATAGAGGACTTTCAAGTATTCCTAATTAAAAAAGACTAGAGCTGGAACTTTGAAATAAACACAAGAGTTGAAAGAAACACAGAAAGCTAAATTTATTTGAGTAAATAGAAGCAGCTATATGGCGATATAGTGCAAAAATTCTAATAGGGAATAACAAACGTGCTCCTTCAGAACATTAAGGTTTTTGAAGGGTATTGAGAAAGTTAAAGAAGAAAAACAGAAGATCTGGGGGTGGATTGGTTCTCTTATGATGGTCTAAAGGAACGAAAGAGATGGAAAGGTAAAAAGAGGAATACATTACTGCAAAAAGGAGGAAGCAGATATTCCTGCTATTCCTCCTAAGTGAAGTGTGTGAGAAAAGTATACAAACGTGGAGAAAGGGATGGGGAAGCAGGCAGCAAATGAATCTCTTAGCTGACACGAACAAAAAAAGGGTTGAATACATTCACATTTACACCACACACAAATGTCCCCTCCAAGAGTTCAGTATAGAAATACATGAAAGGTTGGAGAATATTAGAGAGGAAATGGCAACAAGTAAAACAAACATCCTGATCCTGAAGAGACTAAGGAAAAGGAAAGAGATAAAAGAATGAGAGTCTAAGGTGTTTGCTATCGATCAAGGAATGCCTGAACAAACAGTGGTATATGAATGTATGTAATGGAATACATTATTGTGCCACAAGAAAGAACAAAAGATACTTATTTTGGAGAATCCTCGGCAATACGAAATGATGCAGCCAAGAGAGCAGAACCAGAAGAATTTGCATAAGAACAACCCCACCTCTGCAAAACTTTAGAACTCTGGTCAAAGCAATGACCAGGCAGGACCTCCAGGGAAGTATTCGACTCACCTTCTGACAGAGAAGGCATAGATTCAAGGTACAGAAAGAGGAAGATATGTTTAGACGTGGCTACTATGTGGATTCATTTTGCTTGACTATGCTTATTTCTTAAAAAGGTTGTCTTTTTTCTTCCTTTCACCTTCAATTACGTAGGGGGATGGAGGAGTAGGGATTAGCAATAGTGATTTAAAAAAAAAAGGGGGCCATTGAAACATTTTTTAAAATGCACAGAAGAAATTAGATGGAAGTTCAAAAGAGAGGACAGACAGCAGGATATAGGTGGAATTCATTGTGTACTTTTTTTTTAAATCATGTTATATGTAATGCAAATTCAGATTCTTTTTGTTTTTTATTTAATATATTTTCCCAATTACACGTAAAAACAATTTTTAACATTTGTTTTTTATAAATTTTGAGTTCCAAATTCTGTTCCTCCCTCCATTCCCTCCCATTTCATTGAGAAGGCAAGCATTTTGATAAAACATATTTCCATATTAGTCATGTTGTGAAAGAAAACAGACCAAAAAAAAAGAAAAAGAAAGTAAAAAAAGTATGCTTCAATCTGCATTCCAACTGTGATCAGTTCTTTCTCTGGAGATGGATAGCATTTTTCATCCTAAGTCCTTTGAAATTGTCTGGGATCACTTATCATTGTGAGAAGAGCTAAGTCACTCATAGTTGATCATCATACAATATTGCTGTTACTGTGTACAATGTTCTACTTCTACTTACTTCACTTTGCATTAGTTCATATAAGTCTTTCTAGATTTTTCTGAGAGAATCCTGCTCATCATTTCTTCTAGTACAATAGTACTCCAACATAATCATGTACCACAATTTGTTTGGCCATTCCATCCCCTCAATTTCCAAATCTTTGCCACCACAAAAAGAAATGCTGTAAAAATTTTGTACATATACATCTTCCTTTTTTTAATTTTTTGGGGGATACAGCCCTGGTAGGGTGTGCTGGGTGTGCATGGTTTTATAACACTTTGGCATAGTTCCGAATTGCTCTCCAAAATGGTTGGATCAGTTCACAACTCCACCAATAGTGCATTACTATCTCAATTTTCCCACATCCCTTGAAACGTTTGTCATTTTCCTTTTCTGTCACATTAGCAAATCTGATAGGTATTGGGAGGTACCTCAAAGTTGTTTTAATTTTCATTTCATTTCTCTACTCAACAGTGATTTAAAGCATTTTTTCATATGAATATAGATAAGTTTGATTCCTTCACCTGAAAGCTGCTTCTATCACTTATCAATTGGGGAACAGCTCCTATTTTTATAAATTTGATCAAATTCTTTCTATTTTTGAAATGAGGTCATCATCAGAGAAAAAAAATTCACAGTTTCATATGGAATCCTCTTTTTGCCTTCTGCTATGTATATGGAAATGCTCTTTTTGGTGCTCAAGTTCAGATTCAGAATTAAAAATTTTTTTTAAATATCAAAGAATTAATTATAGAAAAGCTGATGAGAAATTAAATGACTGGGATTAAATTAGATAACCAGAATTAGCATTAGCAAATATTACATTCTTATTTTAGAATAGCTGTATAATAAATACTTTCATTTAATGTAAATTTTTCCTTTATTCAGGCTACTCTGAGGTTCATACTTTGTGGTAATTACATACTACATATAATGTGTGTGTATAATTGTTCATCTTGTATTTCTGACCCAATTCCGGTAAATACATTTTGAAGTTATTTCTTAAACTATTTTTCAGAAAGACTGCAAAATATATAATGCTATCTACACATGAAGAGAATGTCATCAGCAGCAAAATATGAGTTTTCAGTTGTAATGCCAATAGTAATAAAAGAGACAGACCATCCATTCATGTCTCTTGCCAGTTCCTTCTTATAATGAATGGTATGCCTAACCTCAGAAAGCAGACATGGGTTAAAGATGTAGAGTCTTCGGTCATGGACTCAGATCCAAGTGAAGACTAAATCTTGGCATCATTACTATAGCTCTAGTTCATGATAATGAAGTAACAATACCTCTACTTTATACTTAGTCTCTTCAGAATAATTTAAAATATTATTTAAAATAATTTACATTCAGACACTCACATTTATACATATACACATTAAATAAAGTATGTTCTGTTGATTTAAAATGTAGTACTGTCTCCAAACACCTCATCTCAACTGTTCAATAATCAATTCAGTAAATTAGACTATGTATGCACAATGCTTTACAAACCTTTACATACTATATAAGTGTAAACTATTTTCTATAAGTCACTTAAAATAATACTAACAATAGTAATAGTAACAATAGCTAACATCTATATAATGCTTACTGTGTGCCAGGCACTATGCTAAGTGCTTTACAAATATTACCACATTTGACCTTCACAACAACCCTGGGAGGTAGGAGCTACTATTTTTCCTATTTAAAATTGAGGAAACTGAAGCACACAGAGCTTAAGTGACTTGCCCAGGGTCACACAGCTAGTAAGTGTCCGAAGGCATATTTGAACTCAGGTCTTCCTGACTACAAGCCTGGCTCTCTTTATCTCTTTATCTGCTGCACTACCTAACACAAACTAAATAATGATATAAGCATGATTAAAACCATATTATTAATACAATTATATTAATTTCATTACAAGAGAAGGAAAAGTTTATGTACACACATTGTAATATAGTTTTTAGTTATTAATATGGTCTTTCCATCACTTAGTAATATGCCATAAGACATAATTATTTCTTTCATTTTTAAATTGAAAAAAATCTTACTTATTTTAACCTTACTCATTCTGAATAAAGAAAATACCTATTGTATTTATAATGTAATCTATGGTTGAGTTAATATTAGCTATGTTTTTAATAAATCAAAACAAAGCTAGTACCATATTAAGTGGTAGCAAATGATTAGTAAGGGTGTAATTTTATATGTATATTGCATTATAAGGATACTAGAAAGGAAATAGTTACTAAAATTCAAAAATGAAACATATCTGAAAAAGCAAACCTCTTGCACCAGCTAGACTAGATGCTAACAATGTCTTAAATATTAGAGCACTTAAACAACATACCTAAAGAACCTCTGTTCTCTTGACGGTTTGGTGGTATGTTTTCTTTGGCCATGGAGACTAATATTTTGCTGTTTTCTGAAAGCTTTTCTACAGCATTGCTCTGGGGGAAAAAAGACAATCCATTTAAGGAGGGAAATAATCACAAAACATTTAATAGATTTTTATGTGTTTCACATCTTTTTACATTATAAAGTTTAAGATGCAATTATCAAAATACATTGTTTCAATATTGTAATGAATGGTAATAATGTTATATGACTTTCCCAAAGCATTATGAACTAATATTAAACATTTTAATCATCCATGCTTAAGTACTTTAAAACTTCATTATAAAAATATTTGCAATTCCATAGATTTATATATCCTATGCATCAAATTATTTCTCAAATGTTTTTACAGACTGCATAGCTTTTTGTTGTTCAGTCTTCCTTTCAATCACATTCAACTCTTCATGACCCATTTGGGGTTTTCTTGGCAAAAAAATACTGGTGTAGTTTGCCATTTCCTTCTCCAGCTCATTTTACAGATGAAGAGACTGAGGCAAACAGTGTTAAGTAACTTGCTCTCAGGGTCATACAACTATTAAGTAAGTGTCTGAGGCCAGACTGATCTCAGGAAGATGAGTCTTCCAGACTCCAGGCCCAGCATCCACTGCATCACCTAGTTATTCCACCACATAGCTACCACTCTGTAATTCACAGATATTAGAAGAGAAATTATCTCTGTACCATGAAATAGTATAGTAATGTGACTCTAAATATGAGACAGCATTAATATTTTTTTAAATCTTCTAAAAGATTCATTTTTGCCATTCTACATACTGCTTTTAAGATGTTAATAGAGCAAAAAAATTCCTAAAATACAAATAAAAAAATTTTATTTTTTACAAAGTTTTGGTACTTGAAAATTATTTGTAGTCAGTAGATTCAACCTCATTGCTTTTATGAAACATAATTTTGACAACTATATCTATGAAAAAAGTCAGAAACATTGAGATTCAAAATAGTTTAAAAGACAAGTTAGAACTAAGTTCATCCTTCTAAAACTTGAGTTAATAAATTCACTAAGTCAGATGCTTTAGGATTAAGATGATATTGGAATGTAACTTTTTCTCAAACTTTTTACAATGGCAGTAGAACTCTTCAATTTAAACAACACTTGGTAGTAAAATACTTTTAAATCATATTTTAATGCCTATGATTATTTATGCTAAATAACATAAGGTTGATTATATAATAACATCTCTAACAATATCACAAACAACTCACTACAAAGGTTTATGCTTCCTATATGTTTATGCTTCCTATAATGTTTTATAACAGGAAGAAATGTTAACTAACAGCTCACCACTTAAGTAAGCTTCACAACAACCTCAATTTTCTCCTTTAACAGTATATTTGGGATTATTTCAGTTTATCAAATTTTCACTTACAATTGAGAGTTCTGACTTAAAATTTCCTGTTTTATTTTTAAATGTCTTTATCATTCTAACAGAATGATTTTTAACTTGGTAACATAACAGACATTGAACAACAAAACTGTCAGAAGTTAACATACACCAGAGATAGATATTGTCAATCTACCTTTATATCCATATAAGGAGGGTCTTTTTCCAACTCAGCTTTGTCTTTTGTCAGTTTAGCCTTTTGATCTTCAATAAACTGATCTAAATTATCAGCCATTCTTCAGATTCTAAAAATAAATAAAAAATAACATGATATTAAATATATGTTATGTCAATACGCATATCCTTACTACTATTTTAAAACCTTAAGCAATCCACATTTGGCATTCAATTTAGCTTACTTATTCACTTGAAAACTTCAAATGAAAAGCTGGATCAATTGAGATACTATACATAAAACACTTTGTAAACTTTCAAATATTATATAAATGAAATTTGGCATTCAATTTAGCTTATTTATTCCCTTGAGAACATCAAATGAAAAGATGGATCAACTAAAATAATATACACAAAAGAATTTGAAAACATTCAAGTATTATATAAATGTCAGCTATGACTTATTCTTATCAAAAGATTGACCCAATCAATCAGCAAGTCTTTATCAAATATCTATTGTGTGCCAAACATGGTGCTAGGTGCTGAGGACACAAAGACAAAAATGGAACAATCCCTGCCTTCAAGAAGCTTGTATTCTATCAAAGGAGACAAAATATGCATATATATGTATGTGTATGTATATACGCATATGCACAGGCACATGCACATACCTAGAGAATTAATAAAAGTCAGTCAACAAACATTTATGTTTAAGACTACTATTAGGTACTGCACTAAGTGCTGTAGGTTAAAAAAAAAAAAAAAGCAAAAGATAGCCCCTGGTCTCAAGAAGCTCATGGTCTAATGGAGCAAACAATATGTGAACTATTACTGACAAATAAATATTTACAGGATGATAAAATGGATGGAACAAAAATAGAGAGAAGACACCAGCATCAAGGAAGGATTGGAAAAGCCTTCTTGCAGAAGGTTGGACTTTAGTTGAGGCTTAAAAGAAGCCCAGGAAGCACTGGAATAGTGTTGAAGAGGAAGACACTAGCAACTGGGGCAAAGGCTTCATGGTGAAAATGGAGCTAGAGCTGAGCCTTGAAAAAGAAAGATTCTTAGAGGAGGGGCAGAGTAGAATGTGTTACAAGCACTGAGGATATACAAAGATATCAAGATAAAAGATAAGTGTTAAATGTTAGGAAATAAGACCAGTTCAGTAGGACTATAGAGTTTAGGAAGAGAAACAATGGATAATGAGAAATGGAAAGGTAGGTTGGGGCACAGTTGTGAAGTTATATTTTATTAAAAACTTTTTGTACAAATAAAACCAATGAAGAAAAAAATTTTAAAGCAGTTAAATCCAAAAAAAATCTTTGCAGCAAGTTTCTCTGATAAAGGTTTCATTTCTAAGATACGGAAATTGATTCAAACTTAATAAGAAAGGAAGCTGTTCCCCAACGGAGAAGTGACCAAAAGATATGAACAGTCGTCAGTTTTCAAAGGAAGAAATCCAACCTATCAACAGCAACATGAAAAAAATGCTCTAAATCACTATTAGAAAAATGCAAATTAAAACACCCCTGAGGTACCACCTCACATCTATCAGACTGGCAAAGCTGACCAAAAAAATAGAAAAATGACAAATGCTGGAGGGGCTGTGGGAAAACAGGTATATTGTTGCAATGTCGATGGAACTGTAAACTGATCCAACCATTCTGGAAAGCAATATGAAATTGTTTTCAAAACACTACTACACTCTGCATGCCCTTTGACCCAGCAATACCATTGCTACATCTATACTCCAAAGAGATCAAAGAATAAGCAAAAAGACATATATATGTATGTATATATATACATACACACATATATACCCACACATACATATACATGTGTGTATGTGTGTGTGTATCAGCTCTTTTTGTGGTAGCAACAAACTGGAAACTGAGGGGGTGCTCATCATTTAAGGAATTACTATACAAGTTATAGCCCTGAATGGTGGTATATCACTAGGTACTGTAAGAAATGATGAAAGGGATGCTTTCAGAGAAACATGGGAAAACTTACATGAACTGATTCAGAGTGAAGTGAGAAGAACAATTTATACAATAATAACATTTATGGTGAAAACAACTTTGAAAGACTTCTTAGAACTCTGAGCAACACAATGACCAAACACAATTCCAGAGGACTCATGATTAAACATAATACTATATATCCTGACAGAGATGATGGACTCAGAATGCAGATTAAGATTTATTTGTCTGGAGACAGCCATTGAGAAATTTGTTTTACTTGACTATACATATTTGTTAAAAGATCTTTATTTTTCTTTTTCTTTGGGGGAAAGGAGTGGGAAAGAAGAAAAACTTTTGTTAACTGAAAAACTGTTTTTTAAATATTTATATTTCATCTTGGAGTCAATAAGTAGCCAACAAAGCTTTTTGAATAGAGGAGTGACAGGGTCACTTTAGCAGTGATGGGAAGGATGGATTAAACTGGAGAGAAACTTGAAGCATAGAGAACAATTAGGAAGCTAATGCAATATTCCAGTTAAGAGGCAATGGCTAAGTGAAAGGAGAAGGGGATAAATATGAAAAAATAGTATGGAAGTAGAAATGAAAAGATTTGGCATCTTGATCAGAAATGTAGACAACACCAAGATTGTGAACCTAGGTAACTGGGAGAACACTGGTGCCCTCAATGGAAATTGGGGATTTCAGAAGGGGAGAGGGCTTGTGGAGAAAGAAAACTAGTTAAGTTTCGGTTATCTTGAGTTTAAAATGCCTATGAGGCAATCCAGTTTAAAATATTCAACAGGCCAGTGGAGATACAACACATCTAGAGTTTAGGAAAAAGTCAAGCGATAGACAAATACAAAGACAGACAGAAAAATTTGGAAGTCATCGGCATAGAGATAACAATTAAACCCAAGTCTCAGGCTTTTACAGCCACAGCTGGGGATAGTTACAATGGTAGAAAGCAAAGCAAAGGGTGCTAACACACAGTTTTTAGACCATCTACAAACATTAATTTAACTGCTACTCTAAATTTGAAGATTTTTTTTGTCCAAAAATAAACGAGTTGACTAGAGATACTGAATCACATCAAAGCTGACATTTTTGCAGTAACATGAAACCAGAAGACATAAGGAAATTATGGCTAAATAAAGCATGGTTTGCAGGTCCCAATGGCAGCAAAGAATAAAAGACTTGGTGGAGTTGGATTTATTGTGTGCTCCAAAACAAGAAACATCATTTCATAGTATATTTATCTCACCTTGTAACTATAAGAATAAATAAAAAGACCACCATGGGGTTCAAATTCTGCTTGAACTCACTACCTATGACAAGATTTACTTACCTTAGGCAAGTAACTTATCCTCTCAAGACATGAGCTTTCTCATCTGTAAGATGAGGGGATTGGACTAGATGACTTCTAAAAGTCCTTTCCAGCTTGTATATTTGAAAATGAATATGCTATAAAAACAAAAGATACCAACAAACACTTTTAGAAGTTCGAGACTCACCTATTTAAACAAGCTATTGACACCAGTGGAAAAAAAAAGGCAAAGTGCATAGAAGTACAGGCATTAATTCTGATTATCACCACTTAAACAAGTTGAACTGTTGTGAAACAGGTCACCACAACAAGAAAGCCAAAAGATTCCAGGAACCACCTTTCAGAAAACATAAGCTCTTTGTCAAGGGAAGAGTCATAGCAACCAATGTTGCAGGTGGAAGGGAAGGCCACTTCAAGAAAGCTTAGCAGGATACCCAAGTACACTGGATCACTTTAGTTCAAATTTACAGATGCAAGTAAACAAATAAATACAAAATGGTACAGATTTGCCCAAATTTTTGAAGGATTCTCTTCTCATCAATAATGACTCTGTGCTATATGAGGAAGTAGAAATGACCTTTAAAAACATAAATTCACAAGGGGTGAAGGACCCAACCAAATACACACAAGTCCAAGCTTGAAGCAATGCAATTTTGAAGGCACTCAGATACCAATTTTTAAGCTATCTAAATGAGTAAAACATACACAAAAGAATGGGGGGAAGGAGGGAATCACAAGCGGTATTAATACCAAAAAAAAATCTGACTGCATATTGACAGAGAAGTATAGAAAAAATAGCAGTTTGCTGTTATTTATTGTTTGTCTAACTGCCAAAAAAGCATCTGGTCTTAAAGGCTCTCCTCCAAAAAGGTGCTTCTCATGTATGCCATAGAGGTATGCAAGCCAAAGCAGGAATCTGGAAATCTGTTTTGCTTGACTATACATATTTGTTGCAAGGATCGTGTTTCTATTTCTTTTCCAGTGGGAGGGGAGGGGCAGGAGAGAAGAGATGGTACCAGAGACTGGGATTTAAAAAAAAAAAAGGTTATTTTTTGTTCATTTAAAAAAAGGAAAATAATATTAAAAAAAAAAAAGAATTGACTAGGAACACTAGTCTCCAAACTAGGAGCCATAGCATGATCACAAAGAGTATGTGGACCAAGAAGTATAGGAGGACAGTTCATATCCATTTTAGCCTTGAAGGATTTGGGGGCTGTCTCTAACAACCACACTATTCTTTTTATCCTTTATCCAACAATCCCTAACTATTCCCCTTCCTACTACTTACTGCCTTTCCGTGGCTGAGCAAACTCCTAACCTCTCCCTGCTCTCTAGCAGATGGTCCATCCTTCAGGAAGTTAATCACCCACACCAACAGTTGTACAGGCCAGATAGCACCACTCCTCCCCCAGCATACCCACACCCACAAGCCCCAGATTATTCTGTTTAAGCAGGGGCCCCTTGAAGGAGGGAGCTCTGTGCTCCAGCACAAAATACACACCTCTTTCAATTATCTATTTCGGTCAAGAAGCTTAAACATGGGTGTCACATTGAAATCTTCACTCTCTCTCACCCCATATATCCACTCAGGTGCCAAATCTTATTGTTCCTATTTCCGAAAGTTTCTCAAATCTGCCCCTTTTCTCCATACCAACCTAACTGAGTGCTTTACCCCTTCTCACCTGGGGTCTTCTAATTATTCCCCTGCCTCAAGATTCTCCCCCTCTTAAATCCCTGCCCCACATAGCTGCCAAACTGATTTTCCTAAAGCACAGATGTGGCCATTTCATTCTAGTACTAAACTGCAGTGGCTCCCCACTGACACTTGGAGAAAATGCTATTT